CTGACTGTTTTCATCTCAAATTTCAGAATTCATCATCATGATAGTGCCCTGGCACCTCCTCCTCCCCGACTCTGAGCTCTCGCTAGCAACTTTCTATTGCAGGAAACATCTGCTGGGGGAGGGGGGGAGGAGGCCAGGCTTGGCCAGGGGTTACTGGAGGACATTGACCAGAACCCTCACCCAGATCCTGTAACTTGAAGCATGTGTAGGATTCTGGCCCTGCCCACCCTGCATCTCTCCCTCCTGCTACGGGTAACTAACAAAGAAGTTGTTTGCTGGTCAGCTGAGAGGAACATAGTCTGGGAGGGAAGGGGCCAAGACAAAGAGGTGGGGGCATCATAGCAAGTCCTGTGGCCACAGCCCATGCTGTGAGTTATGGCTGCTGGTGTTCGCCACTCAGTGGTGGGGCAGGTCAAAGCTGAGGAGTTGAGCATCCAATTCCCTCTGGAGCTTCAGACAAACTATGAGTCACTCTCCTGCGTATGAGTAACTCCTGGGGACAGACCTCTGGACCCTGCTGTGGGATCAATTCCCTGCTCGGAGCCTGTTCACCTAGGGCCCGCTGTTCAGCGCCCTGAGCCAGCCCGTGCACCTGCCTTGCCATCTGCGTCCTCTGGCCTTTAGCTGGACCCCAGTAGTGACTGTCTACATAGAAGAAGAGGGAGGAGGTGCCACCTCACACCCCTTGGGATTCTTTCAGCCCGGAAACCAAGCATAACTATCAGGGAGCTGAGTGCGATGAAGCAATATCTGGCATAGGGGATGAATCAACCAGCTTGCCCATGAACTGTACTGAGCACATCCTTGACTCCTGAGAATTTGTGTTGGGAACCGAGCTCTCAAAGAAGGAAGGAGGTCAGGTGGGCGCACCACAGACGCTCTGCCTAGAAGCCAGAGGCAAGCTCGTTCAGTCCAGCAAGGCTGTTTCTTTTGTTTTGTGGAGACAGTTGAAGATCTGTTATCAAGGCATTGACTTAATTGGACAGGGAAGCTATGGAATATTTGATGGAATCTGGGATCCTCTGGAGCCTTCTGTTGGAGCAGGAAAGTCAGTCTTTGTGGTGGTACCTGAAGAAGTTTTATGACTTACCTGCTGGTACTGAACGCTGTTGCTGGCATGGATCTGAAGAAATCCCAGCCGTGAGTGTGTGACCTCGTTTCTCTGTGTCTGTGTAATGATGGTTCTGCTGTATTCTTGTCATTTCCCACTTCGCTTTGCCACCCAAGGGTCCAAGATTGAACAGTCCTTGAACCAAAATTCTTTGGCTGTTGTAACTTAAAATAAGTGAGCCATACCTCCTGTTTGGAGAAGACGCTTTAAGAGCGTGTGAGGGGAAAGCATAGAGGGCTCATAATTTTTTTTATATCAAGGAGGGTGTGTGTTGGTAGGCACAAGCATGCTGATCTAATGTATCACTGTACTTTTTACTTTCTGGTAAGGAAAGACAGACCCGCGATCCACATTGGCAGGCTAGTATTTATTTGTAAGCTTTAATTAAGGGTGTGGCGCTGTGGGCTAATGAATCAGCCTGCAAAGTCATTTGAACTGCAAGGTCAATGGTTCAAGCTCACCAGCTGCTCCTTGGAAACCCTATACTGGGTCGCTATGGGTCGGAATCGACTCGACAGCACTTAACAGCAATAACCTTAACGGCGTGGGGCCATAGCGTAAGCACTCAACCTCTAGATCGATTTGAACTGCAAGGCTGGTGGTTCAAACTCACCAGCTGCTTCTTGGAAGTCCTATACAGGATCGCTATGAGTCGGAACTGACTCAACGGCACTTAACAACAGCAACAGTTGGCCTTTGGAGTCCTGGTGTGTGGCATTGTCGATTAATGTGCTGGACTGCAAAGTCGATTTGAACCGCAAGGCTGGTGGTTCAAACTCACCAGCCGTTCCTTGGAAACCCTATTCAGGGTCGCTATGAGTCGGAACCAACTCAACGGCACTCACCAACAACAACCACTGTGAGGACTGTTTTACACCAGAGGCCAGGGCTGGATCTGCCGTCCTGTTCTCCCACAGTGACAGCTTGGTGAGGAGAGGAGAGGAAAGGGGAGAAGCGGAGAGGACAGGAGAAGAGCGGCCCCCTTGATTTGCATGCAGTTTGGTGAATATGGAGAATCTGCACCTCCACCTTCGTAGATGTCTGACTCAGTTGCAGGGCTAGTAGGGGTGCTCAACACAGATCTTAGCCCTGCTTGAGTGCTCATCCCGGGCAGCCATATTGTTCCCCTCTTTGTCCAAGTGCTGTGAGCAGCTATTCTCCTTGAAGTGATATAGACCAAGAGCGCTGAGTCAGATGGCCTTGGTTCATACATAGTCTACTCCCCCACTCAGCATCCATGTACCTTGAGCAAATCCCTTAAACATTCTTTGCCTCAGTTTCATGTGTAAAATGGAATAGTGGAACAGCCCTGTGATCAAATGAAATGGTATATATGAAGGACTTAGGACAGTGTGTGTTGTTGTTAAGTGCCATGGAGTCGGTTCCAACCCCTAGTGACCCTGATAGGGTTTCCAAGAAGCAGCTGGTGAGCTTGAACCCTCGACCTTGTGGTTCAAACCCACTGAAGTCTAGTGCATTAGCCCATAGCGCCACACCAGGACTCCATGACAGTGTAGATTACGTAATTATTACATGTTAGCTTTGGAAGGTCAGTTAGACATGACTAAGAACCTGGTGTGGCACTGTGGGTTAATGTGCTGGACTGCAAAGTCGGTTTGAACTGCAAGGTCTATGGTTCAGGCACTAGCCGCTCCTCGGAAATACTGTACAGGGTCGTTATGGGTTAGAACCAACTGGATGGCACTTAACAACAACAACAACTTACTAATGACCATCAGGACTCCAGGTGTGGTGGTATAGAATCAGCACTGGACTGCAAACCACAAGGTTGGCAGTTCAGACCCCACCAGTGACTCCTCAGAAACCCTATGCAGGATCACTGTGAATTGGAACCAGCCCAACGGCACTGAACAACAACAATGATGACAACTATCAAGAAAGCTCAGTATATGGACACTTTGTTTTTAGAATCTACTTGATCATCTCAAATGGGTATCTCATTACCAGTTTAAACTAACAAGTGAGCCAAAGGAATGTTTTATCCTGAGGTTGTTTGTAGCATAGCTGTCATGGGGCCAGTTAACTGTCAGATCTTTACTCCAAATGACTCTGACCCTAGGTTCAAAAATATGTCCAGTGATTTTTGAGGTTTGGGTTCCATGACAGTGCAGAGTTTAGGAAGGCAGTAGGGTATCCACTATGGCAAATCCAACTCACTTTATAAATAAGCCAAGAACAAAAGTTTAAAATTCAAATTAACTATAGACAAAGTGGAGTCCTGGTGTGGTGCTATAAGATAAGCATTGGACCACAAGGTTGGTTTGAACTGTACAGTCGGCAGTGCAAACTCACCAGCCACTCCTTGGAAGCCCTATCCAGGGTCACTGTGAGTCAGAACTGACTCGATAGCACTCAACAACAGCAACATAGACAAAGTAGCTAAAAACACTATCTTTTATCTCTCTCTGTCCTGGAAAACCTTCCCAACTGAACCCATGCCTTTTTCTCTCCACTTAATTTCCTGGAAAGAGCTCTGGTAGCACAGCGGTTAAGTGCTTAGCTGTTCACCAAAAGGTTGGCGGTTTGAATCCACCTATATGGTTACGAATTGGGCTGCCAACCTCAAAGTCAGCAGTTCGAAACTACTAGTCGTTTCACTGGAGAAAGATGAGGCTTTCTGTTCTCGTAAAGATTTACAGCCTCGGAAACCCTGTACAGGGTCGCTATGAGTCAGAACCGACTCCACGGTCCTTAACAAAAACAAGATCAGCTCCAAGAGAGGCCAAGCTGGTGACCTGCTTTCATAAAGATTACAACGAAGAAAACCCTATTGGGCAGTTCTCTGTTCTACTCATTCCCATGTGAGTCAGAATTGACCCCATGGCAACTAACAAACGCCACAACTTGAAAGCCTTCTGTTTCCTACAGCGCAGAAACCATTGGGCCACTGAGCTCAGGCAGTCAGTGCATGCTAGCATGCTAAACCTGTGATCAAGGCCACAGTCTCAGCTTCCCTGGGGATAACCTAGTTTTGCAAAAAGGCAGAAAATAAATAGTCCAAAGATTAGTCCAGCACAGCTGTATGCCAGTGGAACCCAGTGAAGCGGGTACAAAAGTAAATGGTTAAGTCCTGTCCATCACCTTGGCCAGGGTACTGTCTCCACTCATGCATCATTCCTGGTGGAGGGTCAGCATATTGTCCGAGTGTAGTGTGGTAGGTAGCTCTATCTGAGTGGTGCACTTGTTTGCAGATAGCATCCTTGGGTGCCCTTAATCTATGACCTCTAGCATAAAAGGAGCAGTAGGAAGTAAACTCAGTACTAGAAATCCACATATTTGGATTCAGGTTTCAGCTCTGCCATTGCCTCTCGTCAGGTGACTTCTCTCTGGCTGTTTATTCTAGCACATTTTCTCTTCCTCCTCTGTCCCATACAGCCAGTCAGTTGTTTGTTTTGTTAGTTACGGCAATGGCTTTTTCTGAGAGATGCACTGGGGCCTCATACTGTCCCAGGTCTTTCTGGGGAGGGTGGGTGCCGAGGAAGACGCCTTGAACCACTGCTTCATGTCCAAGTGGTGCTGCCTTCTGGCAGAAGTCAGAAGAGCAGAACTGGCCTTGGGGCTCCCATGGAGCTCACTGGAGGTGTCCTTCTTTTGTTTTCTTAGGGTGAACTGTGGATCCCTGATTCGTAGGTTTGGTTTCTTCTCATTGATGGACATGAAATATAAAGGATTCTGTAGTATTAAATTCTATCTACTCTGTTGTTCTGTATCAAGTTCTCCTTGCTTACCCTGACATTGGAATGTTTCTGGGGTATCAGAACCTCATCTTTACCTTTGTAACATGCACAGTTGTCCCTTCTGAACACACTTTGCTCCTTCATCACACAGAACCTGGGTACATCCTGCTAACCTTGCTATTATCTTGCAGGTATTAAGCCCCACTTACAAGCAGAGAAATGAAGACTTCAGAAAGCTCTTTAAGCGACTTCCAGATACAGAGCGTCTCATTGTTGGTGAGCTGGGGTAACCTTAGGGGGAACAGGGAGAAAGTTGGGGATTTCCAGGGAAAGCAACCAGGCTACTCCTATCTAGAACAGGGGTGGGGAACGTCTGGCCTGTGGGCCACCTAAGGCCCTCAAAATCATGTGGTCTGGTCCTACCAAGGCAACTACAAGTCTAGCCATCACATTAAGGGTGAGTTAATTAAATGTTTGACCAAATATAGCAGGCTCGTTTTTCAGTTGATAATTTTGTAGGGCCCATGAATGGAAAAAAAAACAAACTAATTTTTGGCAGAAAAATGTTTCCCCACCCCTGGTCTAGAGAAAGAAGCTGACTTGGAGTCAACCTGTCTATCTGAACCCAGCAGTCCATTTATCCATTGTCCATCTGTCCACTGAGCCCAGTAGTTGGGCCCCAAGTCTGTGACAGCCTCTAGTTCCCACCTGGAAGGAGTCATGATTCTCAGATCCTTGCACATGGCCACAGAACCCAAGAGGTTGGGAGGTAGTTAAATTTCACTGACCTTCTCTACCTCGAACTTTCTTGTCCCCCAACCCCCACTCACTATCTCATTCGTAATGCTTATTTCATTCATGGCATAGTTCATACCTTCACATGTCTGCTCTTGAGATATTGGTGGTGGTGGTGGTGGGGATATGCCCTGAAGTCAGTTCCAACTCATAAACACCCTGTACAGGGTTTCTGAGGCTGTAAATCTTTATGGGAGCAGAAAGCCTCATCTTTCTCCCACAGAACAGCTGGTAGTTTTGAACTGCTGACCTTGAGGTTTGCAGCTCGATTCTTAACCATTAGGGATTTCCTTATTGGTGGTAGACTCTTGGGCCCCCTAGTGCTGGTGGAAGGGATAATCCGCTTAATGCAGTGGTTTGCTGAACATGTTTCCTACGGCTGAGCTCCCCTATCCTCCATCTGACCACAGATTACTCATGTGCACTCCAAAGAGACATTCTTCTTCAGGGCCGACTCTACCTCTCTGAGAATTGGATCTGCTTCTACAGCAACATCTTCCGCTGGGAAACTTTGGTAAAGATTGAGGCTTGCTGTGTGTGCTGTCCCTTGACCATGGCTGACCAAGCTGCTGTACAGTCTCCCTTTTGTTGACTCAGGGCCTCTGTCTTTACAGAAGTAACAAGATAGTGCTCCCTAAGTCTTGAAGGATATCCAATTGTGAGGTCCATTCATGGGATCTTCTCTACCAGGCCTCCTCCTCCCATCTTCTTTGGTGTGGAAGAGAATGTTAAGAGCATTTGCTTTTGGCAAAGGCAGTAAATAGTTGGCACAGATCATTGCAGGTGGCAGCTCAGCAGAGTAGAAAGGGCTATGGCCTTGGGATGAACTGACTTGTACATTTTCTGCAGATCATTAGCTGTGCTAGGCTAGTCCTTTATTCTATCTTTGCCTTTGTCTCTTCATCTTAAAATATAAGGTGGTTGTTGTGAGGTGCTGTCGAGTCAGTTCCATCTCATAGTGACCCTGTGTAGGGTTTTTGAGGAGTAACTGGTAAATTTGAACCGCTTACCTTGCAGTTCAAACCAATCTTAAGGTTGGAGCAAGATAAACTAGATTTTTTGGTCCCATTCAGCATCAGTGTTTCACAGATTTTTACATGTCAAAGAATGATGAGCCCTCTCCATATTTAGTAGACTGTATAGAAATGAGAATGCAGCCAGATATCCTTGGGCTTTAGATGAGGCTCACTTACTACCTAGCCGTGTGTCCTTCCTGAGATAAGGGAATAGGCTGGTTGATATCCCATTTAAGAGGACCCTTCTAGATTTAGAAATCTGTGAGCTATTATCTGATTTCTTCTATCTAAACATGAGATACCTCATTGCCTGATCATATAATGCTTCCTCTTGCTTGTTGTCCGTTCTCTGTCCCGGTGGGGATGCCAGCTGACAGTCCGTTTGAAAGACATCTGCTCCATGACTAAAGAAAAAACAGCTCGCCTCATTCCCAACGCCATCCAAGTTTGCACTGACTCAGAAAAGGTGAGTGGAGTCCACGCGCCTCCCCACAAACTCCTCATTCCACTCTTCTATTTCTGCCATTATTAAATCACATTATTGGTGGCTGTTAGGATTGGGAGAGTGCAGATTGCAGGATTGCCATGGTGGGAGAGATGGTTGGAATCTGAGCAGGGATGAGGGCAGAGGGACAGAACACTGAATTTGAAGCCACAACACATGAATTTGAGTTTTGTAACAGTACACATGTCTTTGAGCCTCAATTCTCTTATGTGCAAAATGGAGTTTTAGCAAGATCTGTTTAAGAAGGTCTTGACGATGACATGGAGAGATGGAGCGGCTGGGGACTCTAGACCCAGAGAGGGAGAGAGGCTGTGTGCTGATGACCGGGGGGCCACTTGCAGGGTATACTCTTTGGTTGTTTGATGCTGCATGGAGGGAATTGTAACCATGGCAATGAAATGATAACAGTTACTCACTATTGAATCATAAGACTCTTACCCCATCTCTTTTCACCAGACCCATCTAGACACAATGAAAACTATTCAGTGGAGACTCTTGTCTAATCTCTGTACACTCTTAAACTAAACTCCCTCTTGAAACCTTGTAAGCCAGTCACTTCGTGGCTTTATTGCCCCCTCATTTTAGGTATCCAGTGTCTAAGTTGCCCATCCCTATCTACCCTGTATACAGAGCGGATAGGATTGATACTTGAGTGAAGACTTCTTCCCTCTTGGTGTTTTGAGCTACTACACCCATAAATATAGGTCAAGTTCATCAAACTGTAGCAATTTACACTCATTTCCTTTATCAGAAATTGTTTTTTTGTCTTCCTTTAGTCAAGTTCTGATTATCAAGTCATCGAGGCTAGGTCAAATGGGTACTATCTGAAAGTTTGGTCATTTTTTTTGCATCTCTCCTCATTTCATATCATCAGCTGGATGCTTCACTCTCAGCTCTAGCCCTCTGTGGCTATGTCCTTGTCCATGGGCTCAGATGTCCTCAGGCCTTACCACATTTGGACCAACCAGCCCATCCTCTTCTCTCTCTTATCTCCATGTCAACGGGAGTCTATGAAACATGGTTGAACTCAGCCCATTTCTTCATTGCTGCATTTCCCCCGCTTCCACTCACCAGTAGACCAATGTGGTGGCCAGCAAGCTTACATGCCTGCTCTTGTGTTCCCTTTGAGTTTCAGTCTTGGAGGGGGGTTTGACTTGATTGCTTGCCTTGATGGCTTCACAGCAAACAACTTTGGTTTGTTCTTGTAGTAGCCAATCATACTGCCATTTTTGTTTTGGGGTTTTCCTGCTAGTCTTTCTTTGAAGATTTATCTTTTGTCGCTCTAGCTATTCCAGGCTAGTTTGCTTGTCCTTTCTAGTGGCAGTGTCCCACCTCAGAAGATTCTGGATTCCACCTAAGATCCTATATACTGCAAAGGCTCAGTAAGAGGCCGATTGCACTGGGCAAGTTCTAGAACCTCTTTTAGGTATTCCAATCAGTTATAAGCTGAAGACTGGCTTACAAGCTTTCTGTAATCATGTTTCCCGGCATTCCTTTCTATCCCACTCAAGTGTCTATTTTACAATAGTAGGCAAGGGAAACCAATATTCATAAGGTAACCAAGCATCTTAGTATTATTTCCCCTCTTCAAGAAACCACTGTTTTGATGATTGAACCTTCTTTTTTTTTTTTTTTTTAAGATATCCTAACAAAACTAAGACAAGTGTATTACTGAAAGAACTTACCTGAAGCCATCCACTGACTATAGAGACATGCTTAAACATGTTTTGCTTGGAATAAACTCATGCATGGATGATCTGGAACTCTATTAGCAATACTTTTTAACTTATACTCATATTTTAAAACACTAAGTGATAAAGTAGTATATGAGGGTGAGTCAAATATTATCCACACTGTGGCTGTAGAGTTTATTTTAATCAATTTTTAGAAAAAAAAAATACATCATTTTTCAACATAATCTCCTTGCTTTTCAATTCACTGTCCATCTGTCATATTTCATATTCCCCTATTAAAAAATGTTTTAGACTGAGTTGTAAGCCATGAATGCTTCACTGTCTTCACTTCTTCATCAAAGGTGAATCTTCGTCCTCAAAGGGCTGTTTTCAGGGGACTGAACAGATGTTAAGTCTGATGGAGCAAGATCAGGACTATAGGGAGGATGCTTTAACACCTCAAAATGAAGTTTTTGCAGAGTGTCAGTAGTGTGAGCAGAGATGTGTGGATGTGCGTTCTCATGCAAGATCACACGCCCCTTGGATAGCAGTCCTCTGTGTTTAATCTGATGTTTAGGCCTCAGCTCTTCAGTGAGTAATCTCATTGTAATGAGTAGTTGATTGTTGAACCCTTTTCCTGATAGTGTTCCAATAATAGCCCTTGAGAGTGTCAGAAAACTATAAGCATCAATTTTCCAGCTGATGTTTGATTTTTGAACTTTTTCTTGGTCAGCAATTAAGGTTGTGTCCGTTCCATACTTGGCCATTTACTCTCAGGCTCTTGGTGATGAATCCATGTCTCGTCACCAATAACAATTTTTTTTTTTTCAACCTTCTTTTGAGTATCGGTCCAAATTTTGTTCGTAGATGTCCAAATACTTCTGCTTATGCTCTTCCGTGAGTTGTTTGGGTACTCTACTTGTACAAACGTTTCAAAACCCAAGTCTGTTGTGGATTCCTTTGTATGCAGAGCCATGGCTGATTTGCAAATGATTTGCCGCATTATCCACTGTCACTCATCTATTCCACAGAATCATTTCCCGGGCATGCTCAATGTTGTCATCAGTCATGGATGTGGACGGACATCTTAATATAACCAGAGCATGTATAATTTTTGACTCACCCTCATGGAAATGAAAGTTATGATTATGCATCAACCTGGTAAATGATCTCTCAAAGAGGAATCTGATAGGATATGATTGTCCAGATCATCAGATCACATGGGGAGAATTTGCTAGATAAAATTCAGGGCACAGAAAATACTATGATCTTTGACCGTGGACCACAACCTGAAGATTAATAGATTTAGGGCTAGACGTAGACTGGATGTCTACTAAAGATAAGTCTACAATTCTCTTTGATTTGGGAAGTTCAATGGCTTTGGAGTCAGACAGCAGTTCCTTTCTGGCTCTGGCACTCGCCAGCCTTCTGCTTGTACAAGATGCCATACCTCACCCAACTATCTATCTTTCTGTATTACATATGTTTCCTTTCCAACGCTTTGTGTGTTTTAAGTGAAGTAGCATTTATGGAGCATCTTGTACATGCTGAGTGAAATCTTGTTTCCTGTTGCCGCCTTCTCCCTACATGTAACACAGGCTGCCTGCTAATGTGTAAGGTCTACAGGGGCTGGGAGCTCCTCTTGTTTTAGTCACTGTTGCTTTCTCAAATACTTAAGAGAGTGGTGCCTGGCACCTCCTAATATTCAATTTTTAGTTGAATTCACCACTTTCAAAGTTCCAGTAGATAATAGGAAATTGTTTATGAAGATTGAAAATTTCAAACAAGCGAGAACAGCCCTCAAGAAAGCTTGGATGGTGACCGAAAGACTCAGTTACAATGGGAACACGAGAGTTTCCAATTACTTAGGCTTCAGTGTGCTGACCCTCCTCTTGTTTTTGTTTTTTTTTTTTAATTTTATTTACGTTTTTATTGTGAACTGAGTGATAGTTTACATGAGGGAACGTTGGCTTTACACCATTGTTTCGTTGCAATAATTACAACCTCCTCCGTGCATCATCATTTAACAGTATTTGCTTCCATTCCCTCTGTTTTGTTTTGTTTTGTTTTGTTTTGTTTTGTTTTGTTTTGTTTTGTTTTGTTTTGTTTAAACAACCAAAGGGCTCATTCTGTGAGCCTGCCTCCGGGCTGCCAGCACTCAGTCCCTCTCTATCCATGAGTCCAGAGTCCTCAGCTGCTCCCTCTCTCCATGTCTTCATCTCTGCCTCCATCTCTGGTCTGACCCTCCTTCTTAAAATCCCTGGACCATGGTCACAGATAACTGAGAATAGTATTTTGGGATGAAATTGGGAAGTTTTCTTAAAGGGAAGAGCATTGTGTCTCCATTCATTTATATTGTAAGTCTAAACAGGCCTTTTTTCTTCCAATCTAGCACTTTTTCACTTCATTTGGAGCCCGGGATAGGACCTACATGATGATGTTCCGGCTCTGGCAGAATGCTCTCCTTGAAAAGGTAATTTCAGCCCAGCTGTTTCTTCTCGCCTCAGGACATACATCTGTGAATATTCTTTCTCAGGGTGGAGCCCATGGAAAGAGGTACATTTACTGTGGTATTGGCCAGGGCCAAAGACACCCACGTCTCCTCACAGTTATAGGAATCTTCCAGATTTGCTGAGTCATTCCTTCTCACTCTGCAGTGTTACCCCAAGCCCTGAGGTGAATGGTCTCAGTGTTGTCAAGAGTAAGGTACTCATGCTTGCAGTCACTTGACTACCACCAGCTGACTACTCAGGTGTTCAAAGAGCAGGGTGAGGAGACGCAGCTGAGGGCAGCGTCTTGGTCTCCTCTCTTCAAGGACTCCCACTTATATGGAGATGGGGTGTTGGGAAACAGCTTAAATCCAGGGACAGAGACATAAGAAAGTATGTGTGTATGAATGATATGACATATATATATGTAAATATATGCATGAATCTGCCTGAACTCCTGCCAAAATTCATTAGCATCTAAAGAAAATTGAGTAGATTTGTTATTTAGAGTTTCTTTTAACCTGGGAATCTGTAGCTCTGTTGTAAATGCTGTTAAGTTACTTGATCCTCTGTCTTTATTAGCTTTCAAAAAATGATAAAGTGATAATGTATTTGAGTCTCCACTTGCAGATTTGAATTTTCAGCCCCTCCCTACTGTCATTTTTAAATAAGACATAGGGTCATATATATGGTTTACAGATGCCCTCACAAAAGAGCTGTAAGAATTCTTCTTGATGAACAGCTAACTGTGCATATCCTGATGATGGTCAGAAAAACTGGGCCAGGTGGTTGGGTCAGGGATGGCCACATAGATGAGGTGAATTGTGAAGAAGGGTAGGACACAGTTTAGCAGAGAAGTAAATGTGTGCTGAGCAGAGTTGATGATGTATGTACACTTCATGTAAAGTCAGGACATGGAAGTGGGAGATCTAAATGAAGGAGACAGAGATGCTTCCTTCTGGTGCTGTGAGAGCCACCAGCCCAACCCTGCCAGTCTTGGGATGGGTCCTGACTATATCATTCTGGGAAGTTCTCCTCAGTCAGAGAATCAGAACTCTGGCCTCCCACCAGCTACCTGTTATTTAAGCTATGCTTAGAAAGAATGGCATTAGGGAGCTCTCAAGTATTCTTTATGAAAATTCTTGGTGCCGAATATTCTTTAAGTATGCTGTTTCATGTGTGTGGTTATTTTAAATAAGTTACTGACGGCTTCTATTTTTTTTAATGTTCTTGCCCTGTTTTTCACATGCTGGTCCCTATCACCTCCCTCCTTCCTTTTAACCTTCCTTTTAACATGAAGACTCATTCATGGTCCCTACTTCTGATCTCTTGAGTCCTGTGAGACTTTAATTCCAATAGAATGCAGGACAGTACTTTTGCTGAGGCCAGTGCAATTAGGAAAACCTAGAACTTATGAGTAGAACTTCTGGCAAACTGACTCTGCTTCAGAATAAAGAAGAGCACTGTCAGGTAGCAGAGAAAAGGTTGGATGAAATGGCCTTTCAGTCTCCATAAACCATGAGAATGTGGGACTCTTTCTAACCACAGGAACTTTCCAGCAATGAATTGGACTAGCTTTTAGCTCCAACCTTATTCTTGGAAGTGACCCAGCAGGACCACTGTCTCATAGCTACCAGCAGCAGAGATGGAGATTTCTGTGGTGGGTGGGAGACTAAGCCAGGAGACCTTGGCTTCCTGCAGAGTGCAAATCAGAAGCCTTACACCTTTATATTCTACCCTCAGTGTCTCTACAGAGCCAGGTAACATTTATGCCCAAAATGCTGCTGCTGCTTTGTGCCCTCGGGTCAGTTCTGACTCATAATGACCCTGTGTGGGGTTTCCAAGGCTGTCAATCCTCATGGGAGCAGAAAGCCTCATCTTTCTCCCATGGAGCAGTTTCGAACTGCTGACTTTGTGGTTAGCAGCCCAGTGTGTAACCAGCAGTGCTAGACCTCCTCACTAGGCACAAAAGGTCAGGTTGTTAACCGTTCTTAAGAAAACTATCAGTCCCATTCTACAAACTTAGTTGAAGGTACAGTGAGGAATGACCAAGTTCTCGGGTTTACTAAAACCAGCCTTTAACCTGAGAATATAGCTCTTTACTGAGATCCCTAAGAGGAGGGGAGGAGGTAACAGGTTGAGGAAGTGTCTGCTCTCCTCATGGTTCGGTTCGGCGAAGGAGAGACAAGTCCAGCTCAGTGCTCTGCATAGAGAAGGGAGACCTCAAGAGGTAAGAATCTGAGTCACATCTTTTCTCCCCTGCAGCCTCTGTGCCCGAAGGAGCTCTGGCACTTTGTTCATCAGTGTTATGGGAATGAGTTGGGCCTGACCAGTGATGATGAGGACTATGTGCCCCCTGATGATGACTTCAACACCATGGGGTGAGCTGAGGGCAGACTGCCCAGGGGATTGGGAGCATTCTTAAATGAGGACCCCCTGAGGAGGAGGAGATAGGACGGCAATGAAATCCTCAGTGGGATGGTGATGCCTAAGTAAGGACCCAAAGGAAGTGAAGTGCTACCTGAGGGCAGAAAAATTCCAGGCAGAGGGGAAAGTAAGCAGACCAATGTGGCTGGCCAGAATGGACAATGGAAAGAGAGTAGAGGATGAGCTCAGTGGGGTAGAGGTGCCAGATTCTGACAACCCTCTGACCAAAGTGATGATTGACTTTTACTCAGAATAAGATGGGAAGCCAATGGAGGGTTTTGAGCAGATAATTGGTAAGGTAAGATTTCATGTTGTAACACGATCCTTCTAGTTTCTGTGCTGAAAATAGACTGAAAGGGAACAGAGGCAGGGAGACGAGTTGAGAGGCTGTTGAATTATGTTAACGTAGATGAGAGCTGATGATGGTTTGGACCACAAGGGGTAGCAATAGAAATGATGAAAAGTGGTTTGTGTCTGATTATATTTTGAAGATAGAACCAGAAATATTTTAAGGGATTTGCTGATGGATCAGATGTGTGGGATGTGAGTGAAAGTAAGACTATTACGTTTTTGGTTGCACCATCTGGGAAGGAGGAGAAGAACAATATAGGCAGAACAAGTTTTAGGGGAGGATCAGGAGCTTGGTATTAAGCAATTTCAGATGGAGATGACTATTAGACAGTTAAGTAAAGATGTCAAATAGGCAGCTGGGAACATGAGTGTGGAGTATAAAGGAGAATTCTTGGACTAGAGTCATAAACATGGACATTATTAGTGGATAGCCATGAGGTTGAATGAAATCTCCAAATGACTGAATGAATATACCAAGAAATCTAAGAACTGGGAGTTGTAATTTCAGTGCTAGGAAGAAGTAGCAAAGGAGATCATAACTCCACCCCACCCCCACCCCCATCCTACTGAAGTATGAGGAACATTGGAAGAGTTTACTCTTGTGGGACCTTGGTGGTGGCACAAGAGCTGTCGAGCAATAGGATACAGGTAAAGAGCAGTGACTATGTGATGCAGAGGCTTGGGCTCGAGTACTAATTCTCATGCATCATGAGAACGATGATTGTTCCGTTGGGAGAAGCTATATGGCATTCCTGAGGTGTACCTAACACTACATCCACCTGCATCTCAAGGAAGGTTTTCCTTCAGGTGGACAGTGCAGAGAAGTTAGCTAATTATGAGTTGAGAAATTCAGTACCAGTGACAGAGCGCTTTGGCGTTCAGAGTCCTGTCTTAGTTAATCATGTGGGAAGTAGAGTGTATACTCGGAGCTCAGATATATGATCCAAATGCCAGTGGAAAAAATAGTTACCAATGATAAGGAATCTCTGGGTGGTAAGCACTGAACTACTAAGTGGAAGTTTGGCAGTTTGAACCCACCCAGAAGCACAGAAGACAGGCCTGTGGATCTGCATCCAAAGGATCGCAGCCTTGAAATCCCTACTCTCTACGCATGGATCGCCGTGACTCAGAGTTGACATGACACTAGTGTTGTATATGGTTGTATTTAGGTAGGGATACAGCTAAGGAGGGTGCCAAGAAACAATGAGTTTGGAGCCAGATATTTTACATGGGGTAGCAAATGGTGTATTAGTAAGGAGATTTCAGGGGGTCGCGGGGAAAAGAGAAATTTTTGATAAGAGGAAGATCATATAAAGCAAAGAAGCAGGAAAGCTCATAGTTTTAGAAGACTAAATATGTTTGAGTTTCTTAGACTAGCTGATGGTTTTGACCACTGAGGTTCATGTTAGTTTACTGGTGTCTTCTCCCCCATCACCATGCCAACCTCCAGCTACTGCGAAGAGATCCCCGTAGAAGAGAATGAAGTGAATGACAGCTCATCCAAGAGCAGCATAGAGACCAAGCCGGATGTCAGTCCACAGCTACCCAAGAAATCCATCACCAACAGCACACTGACTTCCACAGGGAGCAGCGAAGCTCCCATCTCGGTACGGAAGGAGCTCTTTGCTTCTACCCCAATCCAGTGGTCAGTGCTTCGTAGTTTAGTTTACTCCACAGGAGCGTACTTAAGGAGGCATCTTGGAGCAGATGCGGCTCTTTGCATTCTAGTATTGTAGTCCCAGGGTCCAGAGCTGGATTCTGGGTGCCTGAGGGTCCAGATTTTGTTTGAATTGTGAGAGGGTAGAGACCATTCCAGAGACCTCCCTTTACTTGGCTCCATATAGCTTTTGAGCTTGTGGATCCATTTCTTAGGCCACTACCCCTGTTTCTTCTCAGTCTTTCTGCCAGTATCCTTCCCTGACCTAACATAGAAGAAATCTAGCCTTTGGTGCTAAGGCCAGATATACCTGGCGTTATACTAAGAATTCCTGACCCATGTCCATATGTGAGTTTTGATCTTGGTGGGTACTACAGATATAAGCCTCTGTCTTAGAGTTCTCTCCAGAAATAATACCAGTAACAAATAATATGGTCCCTGGGTGTTGCATATGATTGGCACTGATTTAAGCCAATCCAATAGTAGCACAAAAGGAAAGCCCTGCCTGTCTGGCTTCATAAAGGTTACAAGAGAACTCTATGGAGTAGTTTTACTCTGTGACACATGATGCTATCACGAGTCAGAATCAACTCGATATCACAACAACACAGAGAGCTTGATTGAGTGTTTTTAAGGAGTTCACTCATGTAACTGTGGGGGCTGTTAAGTCCAAAATATGTAGATCATGTGACAGACTGGACATTCCTACAGGCTTGCATCCACATACCCATAGGTCACATGACAGGAAGAGTAAAGAGTAGAGGAGTTCTGGCAAAATGCATATTTATAGTCTGGAGTCAGAGTGCACCCTAGGAAAAACTCCCCTTTTTGCTCCTTAAGGCTTCCAACTGATTGGATAAGACCCACCAACAAGATGGAAAGTATTCTCTACTTAAGGACAACTGATTGAATCACGTATGCCTATTGTGTCTGGACTAGTGTTTGACCAAACACCAGGACACCGTAGCCTAACAAAGCTAACGATAAAATCAATGAACTGCCACAGTACCTAATGTGAAGAAGGAGTCCAGGTCTTTTTTATTTTGTGTTTTCACCTCCTTGATGTAAAGTTGGGAGTCCTGGCAGTGTAGCAGTTAAAGTGCTCAGCTACTAACTGAAAAGTCAGTGGTTCAAACCCACCAGCTGCTCTGCTGGAGAAAAATGTGGTCATTTGCTTCTTTAAAGATTTATGACCTTGGAAACTCGATGGAGCAATTCCACTCTTCTATAAGGTTGCTGTGAGTTGGAATCACCTCAGTGGCAGTGGGCTTTGGCTGTGAAGTCAAAGTTGTACATAAATATGAAACTGTGGCTCTATTATTTGTTTATTTGCTACTCAATAAATAGTTATTGAGTTCCTAATCTGTATAGTCTGATATATTCCTAGTACACTAGACTTTTTGGAAGATTTGAAATATGCAAAAAGAGTCTCTATACTTAGGACTCCACTGTAAAGGAGATGGAACTCGATGAAAGAAGAAGCGAAGGTGGGTGCTGACAGGTAGAAAAATAGGCGGGGTCCCGCAGGAAGAGAGTCCCAGAAAAGGCAGCCTTGTATTCCATTGGTTTCAGAATCAGACCACCTGGACTTAGAATGAAAACATTACTCATTTCATTCCTCGTCATCATTGAGATTAACTGTGAAGTAGAAATCCTTGTATCTCTTCTCTTCCTGAGATAATGGCATATTGAATTGAAGAAAAGTACTTATGAAGCCTTTTGAGTTTTTTAAGAAAAACAAGGCACCACCTAGAGGCAGACTGACATTGTTATCGCAGGGTAGAGCTGTGGCCTCCAGGATAAAAGATGTGACTGAAGGTGCTAACTGTCCATTTGTGAGGCTTGATGTACTGTTTTAATGGTGAGCTGACACCAGGTTCCCTGGCCGACCAGCTTCCAACCAGCTCCCAAACAGCTGTGTTTTGAGTGTGAGGGCTACCCTTGTCTCCCTTTAGAGACTAGATTTGAATCAGGTTGTCCCTGTTGGCTGACTCCTCTGTCTCTACTCAAGTTTGATGGCCTTCCCCTGGAGGAGGAGGTTCTGGAGGATGATGGGTCCCTGGAGAAAGAGCTCGCCATTGACAACATCATAGGGGAAAAGATTGAGATCATCGCTCCGGTGACATCCCCTTCATTAGATTTCAATGACAATGAAGACATCCCCACCGAGCTCAGTGACTCTTCGGACACCCATGATGAAGGTAGGCATTTGATAACAGGCACAGAGTGGCCCTTCCTCTCTCCATTTGAAGACTGAAAGGATGTCTGTATGTTGACACTGTTCCCTAGATCCTGCTGGATGAGAGGATGACAGTTTTGTTAAGGTGCATTTTGTTGTTAGCGTACATTTTTTTTTTTGCAGGTCCTCATGGTGGGAGCCTCATCAATCTGTATTTATTGTTTAATTACTCAACAGTGAATGCTTTGGTCTACCACCCAGTCTCATCACGACATGTACATCCTGTTGACAACTATTTGTTTTGTGTCTCTGTCCTTTATAGAGACACAAGGCAAGGCAATGTTATATGTCACAAGCAAGTCAATGCTGTCTGGAAGTAATTAGATTTTAATGGAAGCTTCCTCAAGATAGGTACAAAGCCAGTTAGTGACTCCACCGTGGGGCCTGTTGGCCAGGTAGATATTGGAGACTTCACTTCTCTCCGATGATTCTAAACAGACAGCTTCTGACTTGATCCCCACATAGGGTCAGCTCCTAGGACTTCACTCAGGACACTGCTACTTCTTATATTCCATGGCTAGAAGCCAGATTCTCACAGTGTTTATTATACTGGTTGATGGTTTGCTTCCATTGAATGGCAGTAAGTAATGACTAGTGTTCACATGTTCATCGGCTGACAGTCTCTCCTGTGAGTCACCTGTAGTGGTTTTATTACCTTCAGTTAGTTTCCCACCCCTCTCCAGGATTCAGGGCCAGTGAAAATGATTACATAACTTGGGTGCCACAGAACGGGCACTTTTCATAGAAACTAAGAGGTGATATTCTCCCACTGCGCTTGCACAGTGTCCCTCCTGTCAAGCATAGGCAGTGGTCCTGCTGCATTTTTCCCTTGGTCTTCTCAGTGTCCTAGGGGTACCAGGGATGCTAGTGTCCTGCATGATGCTCTATGTCACCCTGCACAGGGGCAGAACTAGGGACTGTGGAGCACTGAAGCCTGGGACAAACACTGGGACAGTGCACCTATACAGTCAGATAGACTCTCCTGAAGGAGATGAAAATGATTCAGAAAGTTAAAGGTTATCGAAATGATGAAGGACATCGGCTGCTTTATGGAATGAGAATGCACCTGTGCTCTTAAGACTACAACCCATCAGGTCTAGGAGCTTTTGTATTACAAATTAGTATTGTTGTTGTTGTTGTTATTATGTTCTGTGGAGTCGGTTCCGACTCATAGCGACCCTGAATAGGGTTTCCGAGGCTATAAATCTTTACAGGAGCAGAAAGCTTCATCTTTCTCCCACGGAACAGCTGGTAGTTTCGAACTGCTGACTTTGCGGTTCACAGCCCAATTCGTAACCACTACAAATTAGTCATTATCACTTGAAGATACCTATGCTATTTGTTGTCATTTAGGGTTAGCTTGGTGGTAGTAGTTGTGAGCCATTAAGTTAGTTCTGACTCATAGTGACCCTGTATAGGGTTTCTGAGGCTATAAATCTTTACAAGGGGCAGAAAGCCATATCTTTGTCTCACAGAACAGCCAGTGGATTTGAACTGCTGCCCACTACACTACCAGGACTCCTTAGGACTAGTTTAGACTCTTGAAAACTGATGCTCTGAGTTCAGGCAGACTCAGAAAATAGTAATTTATTTGAATTGTAGTCAATGATCAACTTAATTGGAAAGGTTTGAGAGTGTAAAAGACACAGTACGGCTCCTAACTCTTTATAAAGGGTCAGTAAACAGAGTGCTCCCCAAGAAGGAAAGTGTCGTGAGGAGCAGCAGCCATGAGCCCAGAGCCATAAGTGCTCTGGGGTGACCCCAGCCCACTTGCCCCTCTGCCTTCGCTGGCCTACGTCCTCATCCTCTCTTCCCTGCAGGAGAGGTCCAGGCCTTTTATGAGGACCTGAGCGGCCGTCAGTATGTGAATGAAGTTTTCAACTTCAGCGTGGACAAGCTCTATGACCTCCTCTTCACGGACTCACCTTTCCAGAGGGACTTCATGGAACAGCGGCGCTTCTCTGGTCCGTTCTGCTTGGAGTTGGCCCTCCTTCCCCTTCTTACTCGGCCCACCTCTCTTCACTTTCTCTCTCTATTTTGCCTCTCTCTTTCCCCTCCCTGCAAGCATCTTTCCTTTTTAGTCCCCTGCTGGGCATGAGGAAGCCTTTCTCTGACCTTACCTAGGACTGGGGTTTCCACAGAGCCCTGTTGGCATACTTTATCCACAAATGCAGCAGCTTTATTGCTTGGCTCTTAGACTCAAGCACTCACCAGTGAACAAGTCCTGTCCAGTTCTTGTACTTAAAGAGACCTCTAGCTGGTGTAGAAGAGCACTACTTACTAGTTCTTGTTAGTTAGGTGACTCCTGAGGCATGGTGCCCCAATGCACAATGGACTGAAATGCTACCTGGTCTTGGCCATCCCCATGATCAATTGTGGATTGGACCAACTGTGATCCATAAGGTTTTCTTTCTTTTTTATAAAGCTTTTATTGTGAATTGAGAGATAGTTCACATGGGAGAACATCGGTTTTGCACTCATCCTATTGGATCTCATTTCATTGCAGTGGCTCCATGGGGTTTTCAATGCCTGGCTTTTGGAAGTAGATCACAGACCTGTCTTTTTAGTTCATCTTAGTTTAGAGGCTCTGATGAAACCTTTTCAGCATCACAGCACCACACTAGCCTCTACTGTCAGATGAGGGCCCACCAGGTGCATTGCTGGGGAATAGAGAACCTGGGTTTTCTATGAGAATTCTGCCACTGAATCACTAATGTCTCCTTACTTACTTGTTGTTGTTGTTGTTGAGTGCCGTCGAGTCGGTTTCAACCCATAGCGACCCTGTACAGGGTTTCCGAGGGTGTAAATCTTTACGGGAGTAGAAAGCCTCATCTTTCTCCCACGAAGCGGCTGGTAGTTTCAAACCGCTGACCTTAAGGTTCGCAGCCCGATTCGTAACCACTACGCTACCAGAGCTCCTTCTCCTTACTTACTACTTGCTGTTAAATGTCGTCAAGTTGCTTCCGACTCACAGTGACCACCCTGTATAGGGTTTCTGAGGCTGTAATCTTTGCTAGAGCAGAAAGCCTCATCTTTCTCCCATGGATCAGCTGGTGGGCTCGAACCTCCAACCTTGTGCTTAAAAGTCCAGTCCTTATCCTACAGAGCCACAACACTCCCTTACTTACTAGTTGTTATTGTTGCTAAGTGCCATCGAGTCGGTTCTGATCCATAGCAACCCTGTATAGGGTTTCCGATGAGTGGCTGGTAAGTTTGAACCGTTGACCTTGCAGTTGAAATTGACCTTGCGGTCCATTGCATTACCCTGTAGAGTCACACCAGGACTCCTACTTACTAGTAGTATTCCCTATATGCCAGCTTTGTCACATCTGATTTCGTTTTCAAAGCTGCCCTACGTGATGGGTAGGATGATCACCATAAAACCAATGAGGGCACTGAAACTTAAAGCAACTGTTCTTACTTGTTCCAGGTCTTACAGCTTGGAAGGGGCTGAGCTGGGATCCAAAGCTAGGATTCATGCTCCTGTCTCACCCCATGCCCCTCTTTAGGGATTGTGGCTGTGGTCCCAACAGAGAAAACATTTGAGCACCAACATGCCCCTCTGCCTAGAGGAGAGTTCATGCTGAGGGCATGGCGAGGTCGTGTCTTAGAGGAGAGAACTTGTTCCCAAGGGATCCCAGGCCCTCATCACAGTAACTCCAGTGTTGGCCAGAGCCCCGTAGGTGGCCTGGAGACCTCCTGCCCCAACCCTAAGACAATCGGCATTCTGGAGCCTATGTAGAATTTTGACAATGCTACAATGAGCCTCTTTCTGCTTTGACTCCCCCTCCTCCCACCCTACTCCCCTACCCTTTTTTTGAAACTTTGAGCAGATGAAACCACTCCTCTGGCCCTTGACTTCCTCTTGGGGGCTAGTCAACAGAACAGCCAAGAGAAGGTTACTTGGAGGGGAGATTCAGATTAGGGAGGGTTGCTTCTTTCTCACCCTCATTCCAGGGCTCCCCTCTACATCCAGGTATCATTTTCCACCCATGGAAAAAGGAGGAGAATGGAAACCAGAGCCGAGTGATTCTTTACACCATCACCCTTACCAACCCGCTGGCTCCCAAAACAGCCACTGTCAGGGAGACGCAGGTGAGTCCCAGGTAGAGGCAAGCAAGAGGGGACTGCTAATTCCTGTACTTTTTTGTGAAAGAGTCCAGGGAGAGGCTAGGCAGAAGGCTCTGGAAGCAGGGATGGTTTGGTGCTGAAGCAATGACACGCTGCCATTGCCAATGGTTCTGGAGTCTTCCACTCAGAAGTTGTGCGGTGGGGTGTTTTAAGGGTAGAAGAGGTTAGAGAGGTGTTTTTTCATATTTTCCTTCTCTTCAGTTTGTCGGTACTTTTTCCTCCCCACAGACCATGTATAAGGCAAGCCAAGAAAGTGAGTGTTATGTGATTGATGCTGAAGTCCTCACCCATGACGTGCCGTACCATGACTACTTCTACACTATCAACCGCTACACGCTCACCCGTGTAGCTCGGAACAAGAGTCGGCTCAGGTACGACATCTGAAAAACCCGAGTGGGTACAGAGGATGTTCTGGGTGTGGGGGTCTTTGCAATGGAGAACATTCCTTTGCTCTTGGGGAGAAGAATGAAAGTTATTTTTCCAGCTGACTCATTCTTTATTCTACCTTCTGTCTGAGCCTCTGAGGCACCCCCACCTCCCTGTCATAATGTAGTACAGAATCTTCCCTGTTTTCTTCTGTCCATTTCTGTAGGAAGTTTCTGTAACTACTGTCTGTGGTTTATAAAATGCTTTGTAGGTACTTCACCTACATTAACTGGAATCTTTCCAGGGAACAAGTGAGGTGGATTTTATTCTCATTTTTCAGATAAGAAAACCAAAGCTCATGCAAGTTAAATAACTCAGCTCAAAAGTATGCTCCTAGTAAGCCCAGGACTTACCAAAGTATACTTGTGCCCTGCCCAGCATGCCATGTTGTCCTGCACTTTGCTGTTTGTGTCTCCTGTTAAACTTCAAGCTCACGAGGGGAGTGGGCAGGAGTCACTTCACTCACCACTGTGTTCCCAGCCCCCCAGCACAGTGCCCACACAGTGTAAAATCCACAGAGTGCTGATGGAATGTGTAATCATAAATGGTAGAGTCGGTCCAACACTATGAAGTGCTTTCCAAGGAAGGAAGAAATTTAGGCCCTGATCTTAAAACGTACTTACCTAATTGAAAAGTCAAAAACATCTGAAAAAAATCAGATTGCGTGCCTGTAGCATAGGCTAAAGTCTTTGGTTTGTAAGGAGAAGTAGATTTAGGTTGTTCAAATCAAATGGGAGTTCAGTGAAAGACTATGGAGAGAGCTCTTATGAGTCATGGAGAGCTGACTGCCCACACCTCAAAAAGGGCCTGTGTCCTTCTCATCTTGGTCTTCAACCTTCAGTTTTCTGTGCTGCTCTCTGCTCCCCTACTTCTCCCTCTCCTTTGCCTGCTTTTCCTCCCCCCATTGCTTTCTCTCCCTCTTCTTCCCAACCCTCAGATTACCTCCTACTTTTCCTCCACCACTCTCCAGGTTTCTCAATTCCTGATTTCTAAGAGAGTCTTCCAATTTCTTGTTTTTTTGTCTGGGCCACATCTAGGTAGCTGGTTGACCACAGACAGACACTTGCAGATAGGTCCCCTCCCTGAGCCTGAGAGGTAATTGTTGAGTGGGGAAGGGAGGTGTCGCTGAATATCATGGTCCATGGGTGGAAGATGGGGTGATGGTAGGGCAAGCAGCCTGAATATAGGGAGCTTCATTTACAAGTGAGATGCAAATGAATCTAAGAAGGAGGTAAAAAAAGGACCTGCTGTGTAGGAGAGGAAGTTGCTGAGACTGTGATGGATGTGGGCTGTAGAGTGACCAATGATTGGGAGAGCGAATACTTGGAAAAGAATTAGAGCTGGCAAAGTTTGGGCCTTAGTGGAGAGGTAGGAGCCAGGGTAGACAGCAAATGATGCTCTTCCATGTGACAGTGATGAAGTCCTAGAGTCTGTTATTATTGTTAAATGCCGTCAAGTCAATTCTGACTCACAGCGACCCTATATAGGGTTTTCATGGAGCGGTTGGTAGACTTGAACTGCCAACCTTGTGGTTAACAACAGTCCAGTGCTGATCGTACCGCACTACATCAGACTCAGTTCCTCTGAAGAAGGAGAGAGAAACATTGCCAAAAGGGTGGGTCATGTTGCTCCCCTTTCAGACCCAACTGACAGACTTCAGGCTGGATGGATGGCTGGCGGGCTGCTTGGACCACCTGGACCCCTGCTGGATGGAGGCAGTGTAATATCAGGAGAAGGACTTTGTCTTGGGATCAGAAGCCCTTGCTTTTAGTCTTTGCTCTGCTGAAATACTCTAAACCCGTTTTCTAACCTATAAAATGGGAATCAACCCACTAGCTCCTCCGACCTGAGTGGGTAAGCCAGGGTGAGACGGTAGCATTATGGATGTGAAAGGACTTTTTACCCTGTGTTATGCATGGATTGAATTGTTTCCCTGCAAATTAAGTGTCAAATTAGCTGGGAAATGATTCTCAGTGGCTTGGCAGTTATGTCATGGTGTGGTGGAGTTTAAGGGGGGAATGTAACATCCTTAACCAGATCACACCTTTAATCCAAATTAAGGGGTTTCCCTGGCCTGCATCCCCTTTTATACAAGATTAAAGGAGAGAGAACCGAGCAGGGAGAGGGACCTACTGCCTCCAAGCAGAAACAGCCAGGAGTGGAGCATGTCCTTTAGGCCCAGGGTACCTATGCTGGGAAACTCCTAGACCCAGGGGAAGACTGATGACAAGGACCTTCACCCAGAACCAGCTGTTGCTCTGAATTCGAACTTCCAGCTTCCTAAACTATGAGAGGATAAGTTTGTGTTCGTTAAAACCATCCACTTGCGGTATTTCTGTTATAGCGCCGTTAAACAACAGACACATAGGAAGGCGTTTTGTCCCTAAACCCAAATTTCCTGTTTCTTGGTAGAAGAGAGTCTTCCCAGGAAATGGCTGATCTTGTTTCTGACTTGTTCCTCAGGGTCTCTACAGAGCTTCGATATCGAAAACAGCCCTGGGGGCTAGTGAAATCTTTTATTGAGAAGAACTTCTGGAGTGGGCTAGAGGACTACTTCCGGCATTTAGGTATGCCCTACAATCATCACTGCTGATAGGACTGGAGAACACTGTAGAGCTGTCCCCATTCAGGGGAATGGGAGACCTAGAGAGAAGACATTGAATTGGCTTCATGGGATTTAGCCTGCCCCAGAAATGAATACAAAATTTAGGGTACATGTAAACATGTACAATTTCCTAGAGAATATATATGTAGCTTTTATGAAACTCCTTTGGGATCCATGATCCCTTCCCCTCAAAAAACAAACTGACATTAAGAGCCACAGATCTAGTGATAACAGTGTTGATAACAGTATCATAGGGAGATTCTGCAAATAGCTTGTGAATGCATCTATTAGCAAGTGTGTGATGTTGGGAACATGTGACTCTACACAATTTTGAACAACCCAGAGAGGAGGCTGAACTGGGTCCCAGAGAGGTTTCCTGAGGCTCAAGAACATCCTTGAGGGCCTCTGCCCTCCCTGCCAGTTTTCCAGATCCATGTCTGGGGAAATGATTTCCTTAGAGAACTTGGTGAAAGCAGAGAGCTTTTCCTCTGAAGGCCAACCAGTTGGGCTGCGGGTAAGCGAAGATGGCCTCTGACATGACCTTGATTCCAACAGAGAGTGAGCTGACCAAAACAGAGAATACCTACTTGGCTGAGATGCACAGACAGTCTCCCAAGGAGAAGGCCAATAAGCCCCCAACGGTTCGGAGGAGGAAGCGTCCCCATGGGCACCTGCGGGTACCTCACTTAGAAGAGGTGATGAGCCCCGTCACCACCCCCACTGATGAAGAAGTGGGCCACAGGATCAAACATGTGGCAGGTGTGTGCCAGGTGGGGATTTGATTAGGGCTCTGGCCTGGAACTTCATACCTGTACTAAAGTACATGTATGCACAGTCATTTTGCACCTTGAGTATGGTTTAAATATAATTTGCACATGACTCAGTGACTGTGAGCCACCCCCTACTCCGATGCTCAATCAGCTTTTCATTACCCGTTAAGTTCTCTAGCCCTTGCTATGTATTCTGTGTATACAGAGCTTTGGATTCATGCCTCCATGTTGCCAGTGCTCCATGGCTACCTGCGTTAGGCTCAGGTTCACACGCTCCAGGTTCTTGCGACGTGCACCAGGGAGAGGCTGAGCCCAGGCTCCAGAGGAGACTACCTCCTAACACAAAGATCAGGAGATGCACAGGAGCTCCACCTCACCTGGTCCCACGAGCCCACCAGGCAGTAGACTCCCTGACTATCTCTTTCCCTTCCCACCCAGTCATTCACAGCCTCCTGCCGTGTATGAGATGTAAACCATGTTCCAGTTTAGTCATGACTTTGCTCATTGTGGGGGCTGTAGGGACCTTAAAGATGAAGGGATGCAATGTTTTTCAAACTGGGCTCTGCACATCCCTGGGGGCTCTTTGGAGCTGGATGGGGACAAGGAAGAGAAGTGTGTCAGTTCTGTGTCCTTTTCCCCAACTTCAATCCAAGCACTGCCATGTTAGGTGTTTTCTATATGCATTTGAATAAAGGATTCACTCCAGCCCCCTTTTCATACACAAGAGAAAACGGACTCTCAGTGGAGTTAGGAGATTTGCCCAGTATCACATAGCTGGTTATGGGCTTTCTGGTCCTAGTCCAGTGCTGTTGCCCCTTGCATAACTGCAGATCACTGTGCCGTGCATCCATTTGTCCTAGCTACATAGGTTTGTTGCTTTTCTCATTTGTCCAGTAACTCTTAAATGTTCACCTTGCCTGGCTCAGCCTTGTCCTTCCTCAAAATCCTTCTGATTTTGGAGGGTTGAGTTTGTCTATCATACTGTTTTAGTAACAATATCAGGGGCATGTCTTGGTCATTTGCTGACATCTGTGTGACCAGCATAATGTCAGTAGTTGGTGGATTTGTAGACCACAATGGTGATGGTGTCTTTGTTCTCCCCACAGGTTCCACACAGACACGGCACATCCCTGAGGACACCTCCAATGGTTTTCACCTGCAGAGTGTGTCCAAGCTGCTGCTGGTTATCAGTTGTGTGTAAGGGACACCAGACTCTCCTCCTACCCTGCCCACCACCTCCCTTCTCATGCCTGGGGCCCAGCCCTCATCACTTGGGGTGGATGGAGCACCTGACTTATTGACATCTGTTCTCTAGTCTCTCTCGGCCTCCTTGCCTCCTCTTCTCTGCTTTATTCAGCAAACACTGTATGTGAAGCCTTCAGGCTTCAGAAGAAACTGCTGCAGGATCCATTAGTCTCTCAGGAGTTCAGTTTCAAGTGGGTGAGACAGGAAATTCAGAATGATGGCACAGTGGGATGCATTCTAGAATGGAAATGCTACAGAGCGCGTTAGGAATTTGCACAGTCATTTACAAGAGCTATCCTGTGTGTGCGCAGTGCATTCCCAGAACCCACAGGGTGTCAGGGTGGCGAGACAAAGCCAATGACTGCAGTGCAGGACCAAGTTTCTAATAATTGCCATAGCATTACAAAACAGCAGGTTCAACAATTGTCACACAAGGGTGCTTCTAGGCTAGGAAGAAAGGCGCAGTCCAAAGTAAAAAAGGTGTAAGCTGAGAGCACATATGTCTCCACTCTATGACTGTGGCCATAAGTCCAGGTCACAGCCTGCTTGGGACATTTCTACATCATTTTCAGCTGACTACAGACAGCTCTTCCCTTTGGGCCAACTTGCTGTGATCACAACCACCGGGGCCACTGCCTAACATCCTGACGCGCTTCTGCAAATGGAGGCTTCCTCAAGTTCACTCAAAAAACCAGCTGTCACCAAAGCATTCTGAGAGAAGCAGAGGCTTGGGGCACAGCCTTACCCTCAGGAAACACCAAAATGAATGACATGATTGGATTTACATTAAAAACAGAATTACTGTAGCAGTAATTGGTAATTGGAGGCTGGAGGTCTGTTGGAACGGGCAGCAGTTATCTAGGTGAGAGTCCCTGGGTGAAATGAATGATTCATGCACTTACTGTTAACCAGCTGGATGGAGGCCTGAGTCTGCCCAGAGCTATCTTGGAAGAAAGGCCCAGTGGAGCACAGTTCTACTCTGACACTCATGGGGCTCCGTGACTCGGAGTTGACTTGACAGACTGGTTGGTTTTAGAGGAGAATAGCTATCAGGCTGAGATGAGAAAGTAGAGCTGAGATGTTTTAGAAGGTAAAGATATGTTAATCCCACATCTGGTTGTATAGCTAAGGAAGGTGAACATGGAGTCCTAATGTGGCACTGTGTGTTAATGCGCTGAACTGCAAAGTCGGTTTGAACCATCAGTTCGGCGGTTCACCAGCCACTCTTTGGAAACCCTATACAGGGTCGCTATGAGTCGGAACTGACTCGACCGTACTTAACAACAACAAAATGATTGTGTGATGAACAGAAACCTGAGAGCTAGCGAAATGTAGTAAGAAAAGATTAAACATGAGTACTTTCTAACCATCGTCTAAGAACAACTGTCAAAGGAAAAGACACGTCAGTTCCAGATACACTGTGTTTGAGTCACTATGTTATCCAGGTGGAGGTGACAAATAGACCTCGAGAAATTCACACCTGGCGCTTAGGAGAGAAGTTTAGGCTGAAGCTTACTGCGGGCACTTTAGGATAAGCACAGGACTGCTAACCAAAAGGTCGGCAGTTCCAACCCACCAGCCACTCCTCAGAAACCCTGTACAGGGTCGCTGTGAGTTGGAATGGACTCGATGGCATCTGACAGCAACTATAACAGCAAGCATTTAAAAGAATTATTGGTAGCAATAAAGCTCTGCATATGAATGAGATGATGCAAGCAGAAGGCAGAGTGTGAATAGAAAACACAACAGAGCCCAGACAGTGATCTGCTGATGCCTGTAGGGGCACGGATAGTAGCCCCCTTACCACCATGGGCTGCCCAGCTGGTGACCCCAGCCTTCCACTGCTTTTCCTTCCTCAGACCTCTGTGTTCCTTCACCACACAACACACACGGTGTCCCTCAACCTTGGTATCACAGGCAGGATGACACACAACATCAGCCCAAACACAGGTGCTAAGATCGTGTGCAGCACGAGTTTATACAATTAAAGACAGTACCACTGAAATTCAGTACAGACTTGAAAATAGTCTCATAGAGAACTTGAAGACCCCCAAGAACAAAACCCGGGGGGTTTTGGCTGTCAATTTAAGGAACTTTGCTTTATCATAATGCCAGATACATAAATAAGGCAAATTGTGTTACACGCACACACAGTTTGAAGGGTCTAAGTTATGGAACACGCTTTCTTGGCTGCTTTATTCCCCATGCTTGTTGCTTTCTCTTTTCCAGTGTGTATCTGTCCTCCTCCTTTCACAATGATAACTACCCCTTGTAGAGGGCCTGCTGTGTGCATCCTTGACCAGGCACATTCTTTTTAACCATGTAACAGCTCTAGTAGGTAGCTGAGGAAACTGAGACTTAGAGACGTTAAGAAGCTTGACCAAAAGCTAAGAAACTTAATGATAAGCCAGGGTTTGTATCCAGTTCTCTGTGACACTGGAACCTCTCCTTACCTTGGGTCCTCATGTCGCCATTCCATCAATTTCCATTATAAAGTGATCTTTGAACCGAGCTCTGGTAGCATAGTGGTTATGAGACAGGCTGCTAACCTCAAGGTCAGCAGTTCAAAACTACCAGCAGTTCTGTGGGAGAAATATGAGGTTTTCTACTCTCATAAAGATTTACAGCCTTGGAAACCCTATAAATGGTTGCTAGGAGTCAGAACCAACTCCATGGCACACCACCACCACCACTGATGCCAAGAGAAGGAGAGAGTGTCCCAGACACTTAGTGAGTCTCCCTTCCACACTGGGTTTTCCAGTCCCTGAATAATCCTGCATCTCCCAGACTCTGGAGGTAGCAGCTTCTCCTTTACACCCTGCATGACAACAGGTGGTGGTAATGTGCCTTGGTGTCTGTTCATAACAACGGAAGGCACAGGCTAATGCGACTTTGCAGTTTTAGGGAAGCTCTGTTAGCATCAAGGTCTGAGCTATGGGTCCCTTTGGGATTTCTCCCTGAATCTTTCTCTCTTGCATCCAGAAGTTGGGCTGGTAAGAGGGATTTTCTCCAGCTTTGGGACCCATGTAGCTTTAAGAAGTTGTTTATAGGTGTGTTTTCTTGCTCCTCCCTAGCCAGCTCTCCTTATTCATTGTATCTTGGCCTGTAGTGTCTCTTTCTCCTATATGCTCCCTTTCTTTCTCAGATTTACTCCTTCCGCACATTCCTACTCTCCTCTGTTTTAACCTCTGCCTCCTCCCCGTTTTTCTTCCTTGCTCCCACTAGGATCTGTTTCAGGTACTGGCTCTATAATTACTTCTTTTGCCCCCCTCATCTCTTTTCCTCTCCATCTTACCTCTTTTTCCCCTGGTTCCCAGATTCTGGGTGACTTCTGTGTGTGTCTCCTCTCCAGCTTCTTCCCCCACCTTCACACCCTCTCCACGACTCCACAGCTGTGTCCTGGCCCCTCCAGATTAGAGTGCCTCCCTCTCTCTCTCTTCCTCCCCGTTCTTCCCTCATGTGACCTCCCTCTGTATCCCTCACCCATTGCAATGCTTCTGATGACCCAACAGTCAGGAACCGCAGCTTCTCGGGTGGGTCAGAGCTGGCTCTTCAAGGGAGGAGGCTCTTCCAGGTTGCAGCTCACTGGTGTTGATTTGTTCCTTTGTGTCCTTCCTAGTCTGGTGCTGCTGGTCGTCCTTAACATGATGCTGTTTTACAAGCTCTGGATGTTGGAATACACCACCCAGACCCTCACTGCCTGGCAGGGTCTGAGGCTACAGGAAAGGTAACCCTGGCTTCTTCCCCTTGCCACCACCTTAGCCTCCTCAGTGCTGTGCCCTGACTCCTGCCCCATCCCCCACCCCACCCCCCACCACCATTTCTTCCCAAAGCTGGAGAAAATTCCTCTTACCCCCCACCCCCCAACCACCACCACCACCACCACAAGCTGATCAGTCAGCTCTGGCAGTCTCTTATGTTTTCAGTTCACTTCTGATTTGGGGGCAGGAGAACCAAGGGCAGTGGGCACAGGGCACAGTGCTCTGATGTGACTCTCTGTCCTTTAGGGGTCTGGGAGCACAGGACAATTCGCTGAGCATAGCTCCAGCGGCTGGAGTGCCCCATCTTCTGCCCCACAGGTTACCCCAGTCCCAGACAGAGTGGGCCCAGCTCTTAGAGTCTCAGCAGAAGTACCACGATACTGAGCTCCACAAATGGAGGGAAATCATCAAGTCCTCAGTGATGTTGCTTGATCAGGTGAGCTGCCCCACCTTCTTTCCATGCCCTGTGATCTGAGAAGGATCACCACCCATACTACCCAGCAACCCTAATCCTTCCACTTATCCTTCTCCCAGACACCCATTGCTCTAACTCTAAAGGTATCAAATGAACTGTTGAAATACATAGCTGTATTCCCAAAATCGGAGCCCTGGTGTGGCATTGTGGATTAGTTAATGTGCTGGACTGCAAGGTCGGTTTGAACTGCAGTATCGGTGGTTCAAGCTCACTAGCCTCTCCTCAGGAACCCTATTCAGGGCCGCTATGAGTCAGAACCAACTCGATGGCACTTAACAACAATGATTCCTCAGATCAAAGCAATGAAATAACACTCTGGGTTTGCAATAAGAAAGCTCTAAGTTAGATGGAAGAAAGAAAGAATTCCCTCCCCCACTTTTTTGCTAATCCATGGCACTTTCAGCAGGCATCTAAAGAGACAGTCCCCTACCCCGTTTTACAGAGATTAGTCTTCCCGGAGGGCAGTGATGGTGGTATGCTGTGAAGTTGATCCTGACTCATAGCAACGCTGTACAGGGTTTCCTAGGCTGTAAATCTGTACAGGAGCAGAAAGCCTCTTCGTTCTCCCATGGAGCAGCTGGTAGATTCAAACTGCTGACCTTGTGGTTCACAGCCCAACTTGTAACCCCCTGTACTACCAGGGCATACCTTCTAATTCCTTTTGATCTCTGTCACCTCTTCTCTTCACAGCACACACACACATACAGACATACACACACACACACCCTCCAAAGGCACTATAGTGTGGTAATCTAGGAAAGCAAACAAGTGACTGCACAGTGTCTTCCAGTTATAACATCTTCTTTATAATGAAGCTGCTTTCACTCCTCTGGAAAACCAGATCCAGCTATTTAAGAACATCTAAGGCATAATCAATAGTTAGTTTTTTTTAATTGATGGCCAGGGAATCCCTCCTTCCCTAGAAGAATTTAACATTTTATATAAAGCACTATCATATGGTTGCTATGTAAGATCATTAGGAAGATGAGGAATAGATTTTGTCCTGTTACTTTAAGGTTTCTTTTCCTGAAGTGATGCCCTCCTGAGGACTTTCAGTCAGCCCGCCCTGAAATGGAATCTCAGCCTGCCACTTATTAGCTTTATGAACACGTGGTCAAACCAGAAAATCTGCCGCCGGCAAGTCTCTCTGACTCATAGTGACCCCATGGGAAAGAGTAATACTGTTCATAGGGTTTTCCAAACCTTTACACACCCAAACTGCTTCATCTTTCTTCTGTGGAGCAACTTGTGGGTTGGGTACAAACCACCAATCTTTCAGTTAACAGCCTGATGTGTAATCCACTCCATGAGCAAAGAATGTAATCTCAGAGAGCTTCATTTATTAACTAGGGATTGTTGCCTCATCAGAGTGCTGTCAGGGTTTAATGGTATATGGGAGGTGCTCACTGTTACTAAATTTTATTTCCTCTCTTTGTTTTGATCTCACTGCTAAAATGAGGAGAGGTAGTGTTAGTTAATACAGCCATCAGGGTCCATTTTAATATGTTTAGAGTATGTATTATGTTAGCTTTGGAGCCATATTTAAGTAGGACGTTGTTTTAGCCAGTATAGCGAGGAATTTAAATCCCCATCACATCAAGAAGAGTTGACAGGCTCGAAGCTGTATTCTGAGAAAGTAAAGACAGGTATTAGGGCAGTCAGCATAGTTTTCGGAGGCTCAGTAGGTAAGGAGAAGAGTTAAACTGACTGTAAAACTTCATAGGCCTAACTAAAGTAAATATTAAAGGGAACTGGATTTTTGAATCTTGAAAACACAGACTGTTTTAGGTTTGAAATATACAGCAATGAAATGGGCTACTTTAGAAGTCTAAAAATCCATCATTGAATGTGATTAAGGGATGACTATAGAAGATTTTGGATAAGAAACTTATGATTCAAATGAGGGCAGTTGGACTTGATGATACAAAGGTCTCTTCCAAGTCTAAAATTCTATTTCAGGGTTGTTGTTGTTAAGTGCTGTCGAGTTGGTTCCAACTCATAGTGACTCTATATAGGGTTTCCAAGGAGTGGCTGGTGAGTTGGAACCTCCATCCTTGCAGTTCAAACAGACCTTGTGGCTTATCCTAGAGCACCAGTTGAAGCCAGGCTGTCAGATTTATAGCATGGTAGATTCTACCCCACAAGCATTAAGATAGCTATTTTGTTTAATTCCCTTTTTAAAGGTAACTTTTAAGAACAACAGTAATAGACTCCTCATCCCTATTGAGCAAAGGAAGTAGAAGAGCCAGAGAGAAGAAAGTGGTAGATTCGGCAGAGACCACAGGTTCTCAAAATCCATAACCATTTACCTATGAAATAGTTAAAGAAAGAAAGAAAAAAGCAGTTTAGAGACAATATTAAAGTGTGTTGTGATATGATGACTATTTAGGATTCTATAACTGGAACCATCCCATTCAGATTTCACTCCTTGGTTCAGTAATACGGGTACCAACTTGGTTCAATGGTTAGTACCCCTGATTGTGTAAGAGAAGGATAAAACACTGTTCCAGTCCCAGCAACAAAGTAATTAAAGAGGGTTGCAGTCAAAAGCCATAGTGTGTGGTAATTGAGAAGCTAGGACAGAGAAATGTGATCTATGTGGCTCCTTCACAAGCTCAGAATAAATCTTTGAGAAGAGGTCTTGAATGCTTTGAGAGGGTCTTTGATTCATTAACACAGGCCCACAAGTGATTGAGACACAGGAAACCTTACCTCAGGGTTCCCTTTGAGAGATTGCCTGTCTCCTTTGTGCCTGAAGTATTGCCCCTGAGAACCATGGGAGCCCCACCCTCTATACCTCCCTGGCTTTGTCTGAGACAAATGTAGGTTTTATTTGTGCCGCTCTCTGGAGAAGCTTGCTGAGGTCACAAACCCATGGTTGGGGTGGGGTTTCTCTATCTTACAGATGAAAGACTCGCTCATCAATCTTCAGAATGGCATCAGGTCCCGGGACTACACATCAGACAGTGAAGAGAAGAGGAACCGCTATCATTGACAAGGCAGGAACTGGGGTGGCTGCAAGAGGCCTGTGCAATACATGTACATAGACCATATAAATATATATATAAATATATATATATACAGAATATAAATATATATATATATATTATATACAGATTTTAAAAAGAGAGAATGCCTATGTACCAGGGAGAAGGAGCGGGACCGTCTCCTATACTGGCCGGAGAGAATATTTACTTTTGGTGGAGGGACCGAGGAGGCAGGGACCACCTCTCAGCACCAACCTCCCCTGGTCCTCCTCTTCTCCGCCCCCTGCCCCTCCCCGCCCCTATCCTTTCCCTTGCTGTCCTTAGCTCTTAGAAGGGAAATGTTGTTGAGCCAAAGTTAAGCTTGTGAAGGCCCTGGGGTCATGAAAAGAAGTCTCAAGGGGGCATTGCTAAGGTGCTTCATTCCCTAATCCCATTTTGATTTTTCTCCAAAATAAAAGGTAATCATTTCTTTCCTACCCCTTGCTTCCCCAGGTGTTCTCTTGTGAACAAGGAAGCATCCGGGGGAGAAGGCGCCCAATCTAAACTCTACCACAGAAGGCCACTCACTTTCTATGGGCCATAAACTAAAGAGTCAGATGGACTGTAGGGAAGCTAGGAAGGCTGTACTTGTAGGCCTGGGATTTGTCTCCACAGGCTCCGCAGGACCTGTGTTTTGAAGGGTATTCTCTTTGGCCAGCCCCTGCATCTTCCTCTGAGTTGTGTAGGGTTTGGACCCAATAAGGGCTGGGAATGTCTTATTTCCCACCCCCTTTCTCTCTGGTCTTTGCCCAGGCTGGATCTGGGTGAAGTGTCACTTTTTAGTGCCTAAAGTCCTATTGTTTCTCTGTGCCCTAAGAGCACATTGTTTATTAGCAAGGGCAGAGCATTTTTGATCTTGTTAAACCTCTTTTGGTGGTTATAAGCAAGTCAGGCTCTTAATTCCTTCACTTTGAGCTGTAGCTTTGAATGCCAGGATGAGTCAGGGAGTCCTGGTCTCTCCAGATTTGAGAGAGAGACTGTTGGCCATGTGTGGGCTGTAGGGACCATTATAGAATGCTGTGTGAGCCATCTTAACAGCCAGTACCAATATCCCCAGGTCACCCGGTTGGTTGCCATCATCATTTACTCATGATGAGGTTGTTGTTGTTGTTGAAAAAGCAACTTTAGTCAAGGAAGACGATCTAAGCCACTGGAGAGAGTGGGTTTGGTAAAGGAATGTGTCTTCTGGGTAGGAAAAGGCCAGATGGAGTCCATCCCAGGGGGGCCATTCCAAATCCCCAGTTCTTAGAGTTGGGAGTGGAGTTTCTGAAATGCAGAGAGAACTTTTGTTTGGTCTCTGGAGCCAGTGAGATGGGAGATCTTTAAGAAGTAGAAGGACGTTGAATGAGGATACGGAATCATCCTGAACCTTCTTAGGGCCTTACCCAAACTCCAGTAGTCCTTCTGACACATCACCCTTTTAACACTCACTACTATTTCTCCACATCATGATAAAAGAAGTCTTGCCAGCCCCAGGCAGAACTTAGATCCTTAATCAGGAAAAGATCATATCCAATTTGAGGAGAACTCTTCAAACTTGCTTGCCCTTCTCCTGGGCCCTCTTGATGCAAGGGTTTGAAGGAAGGTACCAGAACATCAACACAAGGAAAGGAAGATTTTATCATACATCTACCCCAAAGTGTAGCAAGTTGTGCTCTTCCCTTGGAGTGGCCTGATCACCCTACTTTGATCATTAAAGGATATATTATTATTATTGGTTTTCATTTTTAATCTCTAAGAATGGCCTTTGTATTTCCAAGGATAAGAAGATACATTGCCACAACACCCTGCTGTATGGATTAAAATGAGAAGGTCCCAGGTGGCCAGCTAGAATGGACAGCCTCTCCTGGAAAATGAGATGCGAGGAAATAGAATTAATTGTAATCCCTGGTAGGGATGCATATACTTACAGGTCAGTCCATCCTTGGCTAGGACTTTGATTGAGAGACTCTGGTGAGGGTCGAGGCGCCTGGGCCTTATGCCAGAGGAGGAGAAGGAATGTTCAGACCGGCAAGGAATTTCCCCCTGGGAGTAATCAGCTGTTGTTGCTGTGTGTCATAGCCATAAGCCAGTATTACTCCCAGAAACTTTTGAAAGCAAAAATTAAAATTGCCTCATTTATCTGATACATAATTATTTAAATGATTAGATTTTCAGTGTCCCATGGTAGGACTTTTGGGATGGCCATAGACCAAACAAGAGGTTCTTTGCTGGGTGTAGAGGGCTGTTTTGGTTGTCCTTTGCTCACAGGACCATTCAGGGGAGGCGTTGGTGAGGATGGCTGCGGTGGAGGCTCTTAGTGTGTCCTATATTTTCTGGGTTTGAACCCAGGAGAAAACGTACACATAGAAAATGGCCCTAGCCTGCCTTGTTTCTAAGAATCAGGGATCTCTTGGAGGCTTTCTTTGCTTGATTTTTTTTTTTTTTTTTACTTCCAAGACAGAAGAAAGCCAACAATTCTTTCCACTTCCAAACAAAAACATTTCATCCATAACCTGTGATGGAGAAATGAGCTCACCCTTGCAGATAAAATTTGAGAGTGAAATAAATAGCATTTTAACTGATGGCCAGTATCACAGGCTAGTAGCTATCTGCAAGACAATATAAAAACCACCACATCTTAGATTATTTCTTTCATTCCAGCCAGAACTTTCTTGTTGTTTTTGTTCAGATAAGAATTCTGTAGTCTTTTTGCCAGGATTCACATGGTAGAAGTTTTGAGAGCTAGCACTCTCTTTCAAAGAACATTCACAGTTTCTAACCAGGTAAAGAAGGGTTACAGGGTCTAAACTTCTGTTCCTACTTACTGTGGAGGAACTGATAAAGATTGGTTTCAAAGAAGGCAGTCATGTCTGCAACTCTCTCCTCTCCACCAGCCACTTCCCTAGGGATGGCATCGTAAGTCAGCCAAATCAGCAGACTTGAGGCTCTGTAGAAGCACCGGCCTGAGTCAGGAGACCTGGGCTTCTGTCCTAGCTTTGCTGTCGATTAATTCTGTGACCTTAGATATGTCACATCTCTCCCCACCCAACTCCCCTGCCCTGTTGAGCTTCATCTGTAGCCGGAGGGGTTTGGGCTAGATTATTTCTAAGGTAAGATCTAGCTTTGGCATTGTTTCATGGAGGCTAGACCAGAGGCTGGCAAGGCTGAGCTTTCACAGACTTTGAAAGGGCCCTGCCAGAAGGGAACAAGCATTCTGGGCTAGAAACTCCCTCGTGTTAACCTGAGTGGCAGGGTAGTGTCTGGGTTCTCAAGAAATTCAGGTAGATAAATGTTCTTCTTTATGGACTAGGAGGAGGTCTGGGGAATCTGATTGTGAGCGAGAGCTCAGTATTAACCTAGGACACTGTTTCTTCCTCCTTTGACCTAGTCTTACTGGTTTTAGGAAACTTCCTTTGGATTTCCTATAAACTAAGAGAAGAAAGATAATCGCAAAAATAAAAGAAGGCACCATCTTCTGTTCCTAGGCTGTTAATAGAGGTCTCCATCTGTCCTCCTTCCTCCTCCTCTCTAGAGGAAGCAGCAGACATAAACCATTTTCAGTTCTACTTCTCTCCTTGGGCTCAACCAAAGCCCTGTTGAGGTTTGGATTAAGTGTGAAACTTTTGCTAAAATCCTCGGGTTGCCTTAGCGCACTGGCACTAAGAGAACCTGGGATTACAGGGAGAGGAGAGGACCAAGAGCTCAAGAGGAATGCATTGTTAGGAATGGATTCTCTGCATGCCGCCACCTCCCACACAAGCTTTTGATGTGCCCATTACATTCCACAGGCAGCATCTCTAGGGTGAGACCATGGGGGAAATGACCAGAGGAAGAATCTTTCCAGACTGTTGGTGGTCACAGAAGGGTCCTTCTTGTGCCATATGCCGCTTCTTTAACCCTGCAGGGCAGCCAAAGCCAGTCTTCCCACTGGAAGAAACAGCAGTCTTCTCTCTTCCCCAGGTGGCAGGGCTGTGGTCTCCCGCCCTGTGCCCCGAACCCGACAGCCCACTCCATCCAGAAAGAAACTTGAGACCCTTTCTTTGACTCTCCTTCCTCAGCCCTTGTGACTAGGCTGTGGGACAATCATCCCATTCACCCCTTGACATCCTCAACCCCCATCCCACAACTCCCAGCAGGCTGGTACTCCTCCTCTCCACCTCTATATTTTCTTCCAGAAGATGAATTTTGGACCCTAAAGGAGCATTTTTCTGGAAGGCCATCTTTTCCCCTCCCTACCTTCCCAGTGTGGAGGTAGGAATTTGCACACGGTGTAGAGAGCTCCCCTTCCCACCTCTCTGCCCAGCCTTGTTACCTCACTCCTGCTCCGGCCATGGCTGTCATGGGCCCAGCCTGCTCCCTGTTACAATATGTTCTGACAGCTCAGGGGTATTGGGCATTGCTTTCGGTTGTGACTCAAGGTCCTCAGCAGGCCTGGGAGCCCGGATGGAGCCTTGGCTACTGGTGAGAAGCACCTCGCCTGCCAAGAGGAGCGGATGCCAGACGATCTCTCCCACATGTGAAGGCCTAAAGAACAGTGTCATCTCTGCCTTTTGGCCCTCCTTGCTTCTCTCAACACATAGAGACACTTTGTAGACGCAAAATGGCAGCCTCTGCTCCAGGCAAGACAGCTGGCTCTGTCTGGGAAGTTGGCCTTGGGCCTGGGTGTCACATGCTGAGATTGCACAGTAAATGCAACCATTTCTGCCAACAGTAGTGTGTGGCCCCATGTTTTACCCTGCACTCTAGAGCCAGACCACTCTCTTCATGGACCAGAACATCTTCCCAAACCCACGGTGCTTCCCAAACCCCACTCAACCTGAACTCCAAGGTGGAGAGGGATGGGTCAGAGGCCACAGTGGCCCCTGGATAATCCTAACATGGGTGGAGAGGGGTGAGGCAGAGGGAACAGCCCCCAACACTTGCGCTGGGCCATAGATGGGGAAGAACACAGACTGACTGTAACCGAGCCGTCTGGCCATCTGTATTTGGATCTATAACTGTACTTGGCGCTGTGCGCAAGGTCTGAAAACTTATTGCTAGTCCCTAGAAACATACAAGGCTACCAGCCAAATCTTAATGTAAAGTAGCTAGAGCCATGGAAGTACAGTATGAATTAAAAGAAAAAAAAAAAAAAAGTATTGAACTACAAATAATAAATGATATGTGTGTGTGTGTTTATTGCTTGATTTATTAGTGCTCATTGCCCCCAAATGCTTCTGGTTTTCCCAGGTGTGATCACAGCAAGCCCTAAAGGTGTGTGTGTGTGTGTGTGTGTGTGTGTGTGTGTGTGTGCGCGTGCGTGTGTGTGCACGCACGTACATATTCAGACTCTGCCCCACATCTGGGACCACCTTCCCAGAGGATGGAGGCAACCTGCTATGAAGTTTTTAAATCAGTCTTTGAGTGCAAATTGCAGCAGCACTATTTACTGGCCGTGGGACATTTGATACCAGTATACACTGCAATCTTCAAAGTTTGAGCGACAATATAAATAAATGTACATATGCATGAGTGGGCGTGCATCTGTGCTGATAACTGCACTAAGGTAAATTTTTTAAGTTTCATTATTAGTCAGTAGTTTCATTATAGAGTCCCTGGGTGGTACAAACAGTTTTGTGCTCAGCCACTAACCTAAAGGTTGATCACGCAAGGCCACCCAGGGGGACCTCACAAGAAAGGCTTCTGACAAAAAACAGCCATTGAAACCCTATGGATCACACAGTTCTATCCTACAAGGGGTCACTATGAGTTGAAATCAACTCCCTGACAACTGTTTTTCGTTTTTAAGAAACTACTATTATAGGGGATTGTAGTCAAATATGAATCCTGATGGTAATTTCTTGTTAAACTTTTCCCTTTTGGGGCCTTTGGAGATAGCTCTGCCTTTCTTCTTTCCATTACCTGACCTGGGAGCCAGTCTGACTCTGCCCATCATTAAGTTTTCCTTACAGTTAGCCCCTTGCTACCAGGTGAGGAAACTTGCTTGCTGTCAAGTAGGTAAGTAGAACATAAGTGCATTTGTCTGGGGAAGGGAAGCACATATATCACACTGTTAGCTTACATTTTAGATGGTTAAACACAGTTTTCATTGGGGATATATCCACCAGCTGTGGGTTCAGAAATGGATGCAGGGGTGGTAGGTGGAAGTGAGTCTAAGACATAAAAAGCCACCAAGAAGGCAATTGTAGTAGTAACTGTTGTTGAGTGCTGTTCAGTTGTTCCAATCAAAATTATTTGGAAGTGCATACCTACAGGGCTTCAAAAATGTCGTGGGGAAATTACATCTTTCAGTTCCATTTTTTCATAAACTTTTGAAGTCCCTTTGTAGCAAATGCATATAAGTAGAATAAAACCAGAGCCAGTAGTTTTTAGCCATTCTTTATTGGATAAACAGGGAATCTACATAAAATCACTAGTACAGGCATTGGGTTGTTGAGGGATTGGGAGATCAAGAACAGTATTTTTAAAGGTCAGAAAAATATTGGCTATGGAAAATCAAGAAAAAGCAATTATGAAGACAATGTGGGGAAGGTTCCATCCATTGCAAGACTGCAGGAGTTGTGTTTAATGGTGTTCCACAAACATACAGACACACGTCTTCCAGTATACCCCTCCTCGCCTCACACACACTGTATGTACCGCAGGGGCAACTCTTGCCAAGCAATAATGTGGGGTGTAAGGATAGAGTATTACTGGCTCTGAGGTTTAGCTGACCTATGATAGAGGTTGCGTTTGATATGCAATCAAAATTATTTGGAAATGCATACCTACAGGGTCCTGCTATAAATCAAGGGACTGCAGACTGCACTAACCGTGAGATGTCTCCCATGCTAGAATCTGAGGGACTGGGAAAGGTCTGCATGGTGACATTTATCAAACCTAAAATCACAGGGCACATTGAGGGTCCATACGACTACTTGACATCAAGTGGGTCATGCAAAATGTAGAATGATTGCATGATTGGAGTAATAAGCACAACATATACTATTCAAACACATTTTTAAGAACTAGATGAATTCATCAATCTGGGAATTTTTCATTTATGAAAAGAGGTTAGAGGAAGGCGCTTGTTTTGTTTTCATTTCCACATTAAATCTGTATATTCAGAAATATTTTAAATTGTGTCCAGCTCTTCTTACTGCAAAGATGTATCAGCTGGGCTCACAGATTTCAGGATGGGTGTATTTTACATATTATTCCAGTAGTTTGGGGGCTTCCAGAGGGAGAGGAGAATGGTTTCTTAACCATTCACTTCTATGTACATTCCCAGCATCTTCACACTTTTAAAAAATCCCTCTCCTGCTTACTGGTCTAGTTTCACATCTAACAACACACCAGAAATTCAGAGAAGAAACAATCTGAATGTGTAGGTGTTTGGGGAGGGGAAAAGTAAAGGATAATGCTTTCCAAGCTTCCACACAAGAGTTGGGGCTGTTATGTAAGACTTGGTGGACAGTCAGAGGTCAGGCAAGGAACTTACAAGGTCAGCTGAATTGAACAAGCACGTTCGTGGCTGTCAAGTACTTGGAAAGGGAAGATGAGACAACATAACTTGGCCTTTAAGTGAATTGTGTCACTGAGATTCAGTCATGGGAAACATCCAGCACCAAGACAACAGGTGGGGTTGCTAAAGTGATCAGTAGCCCTTGAGAACTCTTTTGAGTCCTTAAATAAGCAACAGCATGCCAGGTAGGACTTCCAGACCATGTGCATTTAGTCTGAATCCTCTGTAGGAATATGGGAGGAAGAAGAGGTTGATAAGGATTTGAAGTAAGCTGGTGATCACAGTCATGATGAAGTCTCCCAGGTAAGAGTTTAACTGCAGTTAAGGGGAAATAATGATCCATAAGCCAACTAGAAAGGGAGACCAAAATGAGGTGGTCTCTCAAAGCACATGGCTAGCAACTACCAAAAAACCAAGTGGTAAAGGAGCAGTGGAGTGGGAGAAGATGGTGAACATCTCAGAGCAAGCAAGAGGCAAAATTAGATTGAAGTTAGCAAGAGAAAACAAAACGAAGCAATTGTGGTCTAAGAGGAAAGAGACCTGAGCTAGGAGTCCAAAGACCTAAGATTCTAGTTCTGCTGACTGCTACATGACCTTATGACTTCATAAAAGTACTTAACATTGGGGAGCCTCCATTTCTTTATTGTAACATGGATATTAATAATAGCCACCTCAAAGGGCCACTACATGTAAAAAGGAGATGTGATCACTGAAGTGAAAATGCTTTGAAAGTAATACAGACCTAATGAAAGGATGGAGTAAATTGAGAAGTTATAAGTAGGAAAAGAATAGAGGAAAAGATCGATTGTATAGAATAAACAGCACTATTCAGCGTCATTATAAATCACTCAGGAAACATCGGAGGAGCTGGGCTTGTTAAAAGAAAGACCAAATCACCACTTGATTATTTTAAGTTAGATGCATTGTCTACTGCAGCCATGAGGAAAGTGGAATGACAGTAGGTAGTGTCCTACTATTGCAGGCTTTACCTTCAACCATCTATGTGACCAGGAAGAACCTCACAACTATTTAGACATCTTTTACTGTAAATTCAGAAGTATCTACATGCTGTCCCCTTTTTAAGGGGGGTTGTGTGGTAAATTAGGCAGACAACCTTGAGTTTACTGAAAGCATGTGTTTTGCCTCAGTAAAACTGGATTTGGATATGTGTTAAGGATTTATTTCAAGTACTTCCTCAGCAATGGATGGGGGGGGGGGGGGGGGAATGCCCTTGTCAGATACAGTACAGAGCAAATGGAGTATGGTCTTTCCCCATAGACCCCACAGACTAGATCCAGATCTCGATCTAAGGGACATCTCCCTCACTGAATTCCAGTGAGAAATCACTCTGCCTCATATCCTACAAATCATCCTTTCCCTCTCTCATACTGGAGGACATCACAGCTTGATTAGTCACTCCACCAATTAAAATAATGATACAGTAAAACTTTTTTTTTTCTAATGTTCCTCTGTTCTCCCAAAATACAGGAAAACATGATATTACAGGTTCACGGGTGAAATATTTGGAAGCCACCAGCCCCAGCCCTTCCCTCATCATCTATTCAGACTAGAACATGTTTTTCTTAGTTATGCATCAGTCTTAGTTCCAGATGCACAGATCTTTACACAAAGTATGGGCTACCTCATATCCTTCTCTCTACCTTTTTGGCCAATTGCCTGAATCTGTCAGAGGTCACCTTAGCTGGACAACCACCCCAGATTGTATGTGAAAGAGCACAGCCACACACAAGCTTAATTTCAGATTTGACAAAAACTTATCTCCTATACTCTAGTTCATGCTCTGAAATCACTCATTCAGGTGAGTCCTGTCTGTGTCTCAATTGCCTCCTGTAAAGTGAGGAAGAATACTGATGCACAGAAGGCTTGAAAGACGAACCTAGGAAGTTCAGTCACGTCCACAGGAATAAAAAATGCTTCCCAGGTACTGTGCTCCTGAGGAGAGCGCATATTAAACCAATAAAAAGCCAGACAAGTATGACTTTAAGAACCATTAAAATCGCTGTCAGTCCTCAAATCCCTTGTCCTTGCATTGAACCCTGGGGCACTAGGCGAAACAGAGAACATTTTAGATCATGCTAGAATAGGAGAGCCTAGTGGGACTTACTTTACTTTTGTGTCCTAGCTAAATGGGCTAGGAACTTGAAAAAAAAAACTACTTCAAGAAATTTCAGTTCATGACTTTTGCCTTGACCTGAACAAGTTACTCCTGCTTCCTTCCATTGAGACATCCATTCTCTTGAGGGAATGAGGAGTCAGGTCCGGCCAGGTGAGAACAGAGAGACTTGCTACCCCCAGCACCGGTACAAAGCCATTTGGAACACGAAGGAGATGTCCAGTTGTCATGGGAGCTGCTTTCTTGAAATCTAGGATAGGGTGAGATTGAGCACTTGTGGGGATATTGGCTTCTCAGTTCTTCTGGCAAAATCTTATGGTGTGCAGACACCTGATGGAATTAGGTAGTCAGAAGTGAAAGTTCACTGATGAGTGGATAGTTGGACGAATGGATAGGATAAATATATGAAGGGAAGCGCTGTGGCCCCTAGGGTACCCTCCTGATAATTGTTGACATCACTGAACTTGGGGTGTTCAGTCCCCTCAGTGTTCAGCCACCTACCAATGATAAAACAACTCATTCAGAATTCCCAGCCCAGCCCAATCCAAAGGTTCATTGACTAAATTTCGTATCTTTACACAGAAGGGGCTAGGTACTTACTATGCCTTTGAGATCATGGCTAAGGAGTTTGGGTAGCCCCAACACTCAGCCAAAGGAACCCTCCTTCTGAAGGGCTTGACATCACACAGAGCTTTGTGACTCGGGCACATACTTAAAGAAGTACCCTGAGGGTGAGGACCCTGGGTAGAGTAGAAATTGATCTAAGGGTCCAAAGAGTTGTGATATCCTTCCACCCTATCCACCTCTCCCTCTTCACCTCAAGCCGCCTCCTCTCTTCTATTCCTCCACTGGCACTGCAGAGTTCTCTTTGTTCTCTGACGGGATGGCAAGGTAGTCAGATCTGTAAGAAGATTGGGGTGGGGGAGGGGGAGGGAATCAGTGCTTCCATACCCAAAGTTGGGAATACAGGAAAGGAAAGGAGGACAGGGATAGCCACAAAAGAGCTCTGCATTTCCTTCTGGCTCTACTTCTTAAGGAAAAACAAGAAGAGAGAGCCCTTTGAAAAGATTAGCACAATGGGGTTTGTTTCATATTTGTATGTGAACACTCCCACCAGTCTATGAATGAGTCTTCTCATTTAGCTACATTGGTTAAATTAATGAGTTGCTTTCATTTTCATTCCCCTGATTATTACATTTTCACATGGTGGTAGACTAGTTGGGTTTCTTCTGTACTTTGACTCTTTCTGGGCTTTTCCAGTTTTTAAGCTATTTGTCTTTTTCTCCTATATTTTTTTTTAATTAATTTTTTTTTTTTAGTATGGTCTTATGTCTTAAAAATATTTTCTTCCAGTCTGCTCTCTAAACTCTGCTTATGAAGTCTTGAACTGAACAATGAATTTACATATAATGTAATAAAAATATTTTCTTTCTTGATTTATGTCTCTGGTACTTTAAGAACTCTTCTCTATTCCAAGGTAATACAGATACTATATTTCCTTAAATTATTTTTGAAGATTTGCATTTCACTTTGTCTTTAAGTCAGTTTTTTTTCTTGCAATTCATTTTTTCCTTCATTTATTCTTCAATGATTGTAAAGCCATATCTGCCATGGGTCTATTTTTTATGCCTTTCTCAGTATCAAGGGACCCTAAAAGGAGCTATGGTAGCGTAGTGGTTACGAATTAGGCTGCAAACTGCAAGGTCAGCAGTTTGAAACTACCAGTTGTTCCGCAGAAGAACGATGAGGCTTTCTGCTCCTGTAAAGATTTACAGCCTCGGAAACCCTGTACAGGGTCGCTATGAGTCGGAACCGACTCCATGGCACATAACAACAAGTAGTCTAGTAGGTTAAGCACTGGGCTGTTCCCCACAAGATCAGTGGTTCAAATCCACCAGTGGGTCTGAGGGGGAAAGATGAGGTTTTCTGTCCCTGTAAAGATTTACCAAAGTAGCATAGTGATTACGAGTTGGGCTACTTACCTCAAGGTCAGCAGTTTGAAACTACCAGATGTTCTGTGGGAGAAAGATGAGGCTTTCTGCTCCTGTAAAAATCTACAGCCTCAGAAACCCTATGAAGGGTTGCTAGGAGTCGGAACCGACTCCACAGCACACCACTACCATCACCAAAGATTTACAGCCTTGGAAACCCTATTAAAGTGGTCTTCTCTGCCCTATGGCTTCATTATCAATTGTAAATCAACTGGACAGCAGTGGGTCTGAGAACATCAATACCACGAAACCTTTATTTTCATAGCTTTGTAAGAAATGTTCAAACTCTATCCTACATAGTGCAAAATTAATTTGCTCAGCTGCTAACTGAAAGACTACAGGTTTGAATCCACCCAGAGGGGCCTCAGAAGAAAGTCTCTGCTAGTCTTTCTAAAATATCAGTCACTGAAACCCTTTGGAACACAGTTCTACTCTAACACACATGATGTCCCCATGAGTAGGGGTCAGCTCAATGGCAATTGGTTTTTTTTACCAGCTACCTCTTCCAAACGTACTCTGCTTTCTTTGAAATGGTTTAGACCAGGGATTTGCAAATTACACCCATAGGCTAAACCCTGCCTTGTTGTAGTATATGACCCATAAGCTAAGAATGGTTTTACACAAAACCAACCCATAGGCTAGACCCTGC